ATAACCCATTTACTGCAAGGCAGACGTGCTAACCACTAAGCCACTGTTGCACTACATAGTTGAAGGTAAATCTAAAGGAAACAGGGCAGAAGTGTATGGCCAGCTTTAATGTTCAGATTGTACATTTCAACTGTGCAGCAAGTTACAAGATGTGAGGTTGCTGCAGGGGCTGTTCTGAGTCAAACATTTGTGAACACTACCTCATCATTATGTCATCTCAGTCTAGGAAATAGATGGTGACCCTGGATGATGCCTGAACAAAGAGAAAAGCAGATGAAGACATTGTCACGGGGAGCACTGTGAGAGGTAATAAATATCCAGAAACATGATGCTGACACATTACTCGGCCTATATGCACTTATCATGAAATATTATATCTAGTGCTTGGTCCATTTAAAGTGAAATTGGGGTCACATTAACGGGTGATGACACTCACCGCTCTCCGTTGTGTCCTCCTCCGAGGTCGGGATGGTCAATCAATGGAGCAGTGTGATTTTATCTCTCGGCAGACAGACGATATGGCAGGAAAAGGTCATTAAGCGCCTTCATATTTTCCTTATTGGTATAATTGTGTCAGACAGTCGGCCTGTGCAAACACCTCGTGAAATCCACGCCGTATGCAGTGACAGCTAATTAAATGTACTTCCTGCCGCCTGTAGATCGCAAATATGAAGCGTATCTCTGCCAGTAATTTTATTTCAGAGGCGGCGGGCGGCGGCGGCGGTGGTGGCTGACGCACCGCGTCCCTTCCATTATGCTGTAATGATATTAGAATAGCGCGGGAGTGGGGGTGACCTTGATAAAATATCCTTACAATTAACCACTGAAGATCAATTGTAACATTTACAACCGTCTGATACCATCCCTTGCCCAAACTCAAAAAAGCCTATGAAAAAGGTACCAGGGGCATCTCATGGGGCTCCCTACTGACCCCGGGCCCTCAGGCAGTGCCCGAGTTTCCAAATGGTCAGTCCGCCCCTGCTCGGTGATGACCGGGTGCTGGCGAGTAATCCCCAGCCAGGACCCGGTGATTGACAGCTGAGGCCGTGAATGGCGACGCGGGTAGGGCGCGTGCGCTCCCCCTACCCAGAAATGTGAAATCACGTATATATACATGATTTTGCGCACCCCTGCCACCCTGTAACAGTATTTCTGCTATAGAGTGGAAGGAAATCGGCTAAGGGCTCATTTATACCATATATGCCTAAAAACCGACGGGTAGATTTCACTTGCAGAGACATCAGTGTTCATGCATGCATCAATGAGTTTTATACACGTTGCAGATTCCTGCACAGAAAAAGTGATACTAGTGTTGTGGTGTGAACAGGGCACATACAGAACAATTGTTTTTTTTTTGTGCCCTTGCAGAATGCATGCAGAAAAACTGAGGTCTCTGCACCATGGTGTGAACAAGGCTTTAGGCTCCTATCCTGGATGCCCTGAGATCAGCAAGGAAAAGGTGAAGGGTTAACATAGATCTAAGGATTAATATTAGGTCTGGTTTGGGCCCACTGACTCCTGATCACAGTGGCGTTATGATGGCTAATGGTGGTGCACTGGGGGTGGTGCACAGGATCCGTCTGTGTGTGGTGGCTCTTGATGCACTGACTCCAGCCTCAGTCCACTCCTTGTGAAAGTCCCCAACACTTTTGAATGACCTTTTACTGACAAACCTCTCCAGGCTGCTGTCATCCCTGCTGCTTGTGCACCTTTTTCTTCCACACTTTTCCCTTCCATATAACTTTCTATTAATGTGCTTTGATACAGCACTTTGGGAACATCCAACTTCTATTGCAATTACCTTTCGAGGCTTTCCCTCCTTATGGAAGGGTGTCAATGATGGTTTTCTGCACAACTGTCAGGTCAGCAGTCTTTCCCATGATTGTGATTCCTACTGAAGCAGACTGAGAGACCATTTAAAGGCTCAGGAACCCTTTGCAGGTGTTATGGCTTAATTAGCTGATTAGAGGGGGACACTTTGAGCCGAGAATATTGCACCTTTTCACAATATTCTCATTTTCTGAGATTGTGGGTTTGGGGTTTTCATGAGCTGTAAGCCATAATCATCACAATTATGACAAATCACGGCTTGAACTATCTTGCTTTGCATGTAATGAGTCTATCTCATATATTAGTTTCACCTTTTAAGTTGCTGCACTGAAATAAATGAACTTTTGCACCATATTCTAATTTTTTAAGTTTCACCTGTATGTGTATATGCTTTGTTCAGATTTTATGACTGAGGATTACAACCACTTAATGGTAACGGCAAAAGGGTGGTTTTGGAGGTTTCTATGCAAAACTAAAAAAAAAAAAAAAAAAAACAAAACTTTTTGAACTTACACTTTTTGGGGGTGTATAGCTGAACAAAATGTCACCATATGTATTCTAATAGACTAAATCCTGCACCATCAGCTCCATCTAGTGGACAACATGCAGTATATTTTCTCTTTGAGTACTTTCCGAAAACTATACTGCATTTTGGACACTAGATGGGACTGATGATACAGGAATAAATCTATTTCAAACGATATGGTGACATTTCATTCAGCTTGCATGAATGTTTCTGACATTCGTGCAACAAATTAAAACTAAAAGTGGAGAGTGCAAAATCTGGTGCTGCTGTGCATGGCAGCCAATGAGCTTCTAACATCAGCCTGTTTAATTAAACTTTGGCAAAAAAAAAAAAAAAACCTGGAAGCTGATTGGTCACTATGCACAGGTGCACCAGGTTTTGCACTCTCCAGTTTTAGTAATTTGCCCCCTAAGTGTCTATCTGAATTGTATTGAATGAAATTGTTAGAAGACAGATCGCTGATGAAGATGATTTGAACACTTTACTTTTCAAGTGGCCCTAGTGTTCATTTTCCCTTTATTATCTATATCAAGAGTCTCCAGACTGGGGCTCAAGGGCCAGATGTGGCCCTTTGCTAGCTTTTATCTGGCCCTTGTTAAACTATTCTTCCCACTGACATCAACAATGGGACATTTCTTTCACCAGTGATGGTGTACCATTCTTCCTACTAATACCAGTGATGGGGCACTCTTCCTCCTCCTACTAATACCAATGATGGGGCACTTTTGCCCCCACTAATTCCAATGATGGGGCACTCTTCCTCCTCCTACTTATACCAATGATGGGGCACTAGTCCTCCTCCTACTAATACCAATGATGGGGCACTCTTCCTCCTCCTACTAATACCAATGATAGGGCACTAGTCCTCCTCCTACTAATACCAATGATGGGGCACTCTTCCTCCTCCTACTAATACCAATGATGGGGCACTCTTCCTCCTCCTACTAATACCAATGATGGGGCACTCTTCCTCCTCCTACTAATACCAATGATGGGGCACTCTTCCTCCTCCTACTAATACCAATGATGGGGCACTAGTTCTCCTCCTACTAATACCAATGATGGGGCACTCTTCCTCCTCCTACTAATACCGATGATGGGGCACTCTTCCTCCTCCTACTAATACCAATGATGGGGCACTCTTCCTTCTCCTACTAATACCAATGATGGGGCACTCTTCCTCCTCCTACTAATACCAATGATGGGGCACTCTTCCTCCTCCTACTAATACCAATGATGGGGCACTAGTTCTCCTCCTACTAATACCAATGATGGGGCACTCTTCCTCCTCCTACTAATACCGATGATGGGGCACTCTTCCTCCTCCTAATAATACCAATGATGGGGCACTCGTCCTCCTCCTACTAATACCAATGATGGGGCACTCTTCCTCCTCCTACTAATACCAATGATGTGGCACTAGTCCCTCCTCCTAATAATACCAATGATGGGGCACTCTTCCTCCTCCTACTAATACCAATGATGGGGCACTCTTCCTCCTCCTACTAATACCAGTGATGTGGCACTAGTCCTCCTCCTACTAATACCAATGATGGGGCACTCTTCCTCCTCCTACTAATACCAATGATGGGGCACTCTTCCTCCTCCTACTAATACCAATGATGGGGCACTCTTCCTCCTTCTACTAATACCAATGATGGGGCACTAGTCATCCTCCTACTAATACCAATGATGGGGCACTCTTCCTCCTCCTACTAATACCAATGATGGGGCACTAGTCCTCCTCCTACTAATACCAATGATGGGGCACTCTTCCTCCTCCTACTAATACCAGTGATAGGGCACTCTTCCTCCTCCTACTAATACCAATGATGGGGCACTCTTCCTCCTCCTACTAATACCAATGATGGGGCACTCTTCCTCCTCCTACTAATACCAATGATGGGGCACTAGTCCTCCTCCTACTAATACCAATGATGGGGCACTCTTCCTCCTCCTACTAATACCAATGATAGGGCACTAGTCCTCCTCCTACTAATACCAATGATGGGGCACTCTTCCTCCTCCTACTAATACCAATGATAGGGCACTCTTCCTCCTCCTACTAATACCAATGATGGGGCACTCTTCCTCCTCCTACTAATACCAATGATGGGGCACTCTTCCTCCTCCTACTAATACAATGATGGGGCACTCTTCCTCCTCCTACTAATACCAATGATGGGGCACTCTTCCTCCTCCTACTAATACCAATGATGGGGCACTCTTCCTCCTCCTACTAAATACCAATGATGGGGCACCTTCCTCCTCCTACTATGATGATGGGGCACTCTTCCTCCTCCTACTAATACCAATGATGGGGCACTCTTCCTTTTCCTACTAATACCAATGATGGGGCACTCTTCCTCCTCCTACTAATACCAATGATGGGGCACTCTTCCTCCTCCTACTAATACCAATGATGGGGCACTAGTTCTCCTCCTACTAATACCAATGATGGGGCACTCTTCCTCCTCCTACTAATACCGATGATGGGGCACTCTTCCTCCTCCTACTAATACCAATGATGGGGCACTCTTCCTTCTCCTACTAATACCAATGATGGGGCACTCTTCCTCCTCCTACTAATACCAATGATGGGGCACTAGTCCTCCTCCTACTAATACCAATGATGGGGCACTAG